CTTCCCAAAGAATGATCTTGCTCAGTTTTGCCATGCCATCAGATCTTGAGGTCCTCTAGCAATTCACATCTCCTTTAACCTACTCGACACTGAATGTTAGCTCAAGATTTTGCTCTGGGATGTCAGTAAAACAATGAACGACGACTATTGCTACTGGCCCCTACAAGGAATCTCACTTCACGCTATTTCACTCAAGGACCAACTCAATCTCCTTGACATGCTCCTTTTCATTTCGTAGCCGGCTTCATCCAAGGTCACCCTCAAAAACTCAACCACAAGGCTCCGGACTGCCCTCTCGAAGAATCTCAAAGGCCCCTTTGAAAATCAACCATTGGTGCTTGTTGTATCTTTTTCGTGCACTCTGCCAATTGAAAGGACACATTGAAAGGGCGCAGCTTCCCATGTACTCCCCTGGTGACGAACGGTTCAACACCCGAGCGACGATCAGCCCAGTGGTCTCCAAATCCAGCCGCCCAACCGCGCCAACGTGGCACGGTGGTTCGCCCAAGTGGCCTGGTGGAAGGTCGGTCAAAGTCAAGTAATGAGAAGCGGTAACATGAGTTTGAAGTAAAATGACAAGCGGTCAAAGTAAGTGGTATCAAAGTCAATCAAAAAACCGGCTGTTTCCAATGCGTGTTTCGAGTTTTTCGGCGAAAGTCCATTTCAAAAGAGAGCGAGAGCAAAAGCCATGGCGGAGATGAGCACCGATTGAGCCGCGAAAGCAGTGAACTGCATCGTGCCCGCATCGGTGGTCACTTCCCTCATGTTGGAAGCTGAACAGACTCATCTTGAGGCGTTCAGAACTCTTTACAAAGCTCTACTGTATACAAATCAGGATTCATCCTGGTTTTCCCGCGTTTGTGCAGGAAGCGCAGGATGAGGCTGCAATCTGCCACCACCGATGTGACATCCCCTTGTGATGCCAGAATTCACAGCTTTGGGGTACGACTTCACGTTGCAAAACTGAAGGGGGCTCGGCCAAAACAAAAAAACAAAGTCAATCCCCATAGCTGAAAACCCATCGAATTAGAAAGCGGCGGGTCAGATCTCTGACTTTCGCACCATGCATCGTGCCTCCGAATTGGTTGCACACGTTGCACAGCAAGTTTTGGCAACACCCTTCAAAGGAAACCTGCCGGAGCCTGAGTGGGAAATGGGTGTGTCTCAAAAGAAGGGACACAAATCCTGGTTCAAAAGAGAATCATGCAAACATAGACAGTTATTGTTGAGAGGATTCCTGTTTTGAGACAAACCCATATCTTGGCGCATGAAGCCCTACCCTTCCTACGCCGACTCCGCTCAGACGCGCTCCTCCTCCTTGGCTGCCTGCTTGGCACGCAGCCGGCGCATATCGCGAGGATAGCTCCAATGTAGAAGGGTGTAGGCCGCTAGGGTAATCATCCAAGGAATGCAAATAGTTGCAGCCATTGCCTGCCCAAGTGCCCTTGCTGAAGAGAGAGACTTTCCGGACATCTCCTCAGCCCCAAACTTGTAGCCAAAAGCAAAGGCCAAGGTAGAAACCAAAGACGGACCAATGGCATTTGCCAAGGAGTTTTCCATGGCACATTCCCACGCCATGACCTTGCTCCGGTCGCTGGCAGGCACAATGTCTGAGAGAATGGGAAAGTTCGTGCCAGATTGTGCCCAGGAACCCAATAGGCCAAATGCTGCAATGAGGGCAAAGTACACACCAAAAGTGCCCTCACCTGGTGGGATGCCGTAGAATTGCAGAAAAACCATGGGGATTCCGACGGCAACCGTGATCTGTGCACTGAGAGGCCTTCCATGATACCCGAAACGTCTGGCCAGGCAGTCTGCAATCATGCCTCCGACGCTGTTGCCGAAGACCCCCGCGACAGTTCCCTCAGCTGCCAAAATGCTGGCCTGCCAATCTTCCAGACCACAGAACTTGAAGAACAGAAGATTGTTGCCCATGACGCTCCATGGAATTGTGCCAAACACTCCTTGCATGATCATCACACAGAAGGTGGGAATGCGCAAAAAGCTCAAGACTGTGCAAAGCTCGGTCCGCACGGCTGCGCAGCCTTTGGCTTTTGCGGACTGGTCCAACTCATGAGGAGGTTCCTTCAGGAAACCTGCCAATCCTGCTGCCACAATGAAGGCAACCAAGCCAGCACCTGCAAAGAGAAAGCGCCAGCCAGGGATTTCCCCCACAAATGTGTTTGCCACGTTTCCAGCAATGAGCAACGAGCAAAACATGCCAATGAGCAGAGCACTTTGCACTCGCCCAAAGATCTTGCCACGTTTGTTGTCACTGGTAAGATCTGCAATCAGACCATTGCAAACTGGTCGTAAGGATGCAAGGAAGAAGCCACTCATGCCCCGCAAGAACATCATCACCCAGAAGTTAGGAACGAAGGCAAACACGGTGACTGCGATACCCTCTCCAATGGCTCCCAGCATCAAAATGGTCTTCTTCTGCAAAGTGCCACGATCAGCCAGGATTCCCCAGAATGGGGCAGCCAAGTTGGTGAGAACCATCTGCACCGTGGTGAGGACGGCAAAGTGGCCCAGTTGCAAGCCCAAGTCTCTTTGCAAGGCGAACTGACAAGCGGGAACCAATTGGGTATCCATCCCCTCCAAGGCGCTCACACAGCAAAGCCAAAGAAGGATGATGGTATTGGGCTCACGCTCTTCTGGGCTTGGTTCCTCTTTCTCAGCAGTGTCCCCAAGTTTCTTCTCTTCAACCACATTCTCCGTCTTGCCCTCCTTGGATGGTTCAGCGACTGAGGTCAACTCCATGGCTGCTTCTTCGCTGACTCAAGGCACTTCGGCTGTCTACACTCCTGGAATCCAAAATCTAGGGACAACCCCCGATCCCCTACATGCACGCGCGCACACTACACACACACACACGAAAGCCTCATGGGTTGTGTATGGAAGCAATGTCTCAGCATGCTGTAGAAGTCAGAGAAACTCCAACAAGGACGCGAGGATGTTTGGAATTCATCCGTCTTAAGTCAAGATCCCCGTAGGATCGTCTTAAAGTATCAACTTGTAGGGAAGACTGAAAACAAATGAACAACCACTCCTTTGTTCTATCATGATTTGCCTCAACTCTGAAAATGCTCCAAGAACAGAGTTCTGCCTTGTGCCAGCAAGGTGTCAAGGACGTCATAGACCTCAAACCAAGGTGCTTGGCATTTCGAGGTGCCCTTTTCTGGTGGTCTTTGCTCTGAGTGGCAGGGCCCTGACCATGGTGTGAAGGTGATCTTCATAGTCCATTCAGGTATATGTGGTGGTGATGCAAAAATTGCTCAGTATCAAACAATGTGCTGCCTCCTGATGACAACTGATCGCAAGCTATCGCTGATTCGGCTTCCTCCGCTCCCTCCAGTGCTGCACAAGGAGCACTGCTTCGGCCAAAAAGATCATTTCTCTGGCTCACCACACCTGCAGGCCTCAAAGAAACCCACAAAGCAACGTGTAGCGACGTGTTTCTGTTTGACGCCGGATATTCGGGGCAACCTCCACTTTCTTCCAAAGGACTGATGATTAAAAAACTGCAGATGTCTCAATGTGAAGTGGGCCGTTGGAGCCATGAGGAGCTCCTTGTACAGTCAGGTCCTGGATCGTACCCGCAACGCGGATCACGGTCGTCCGTGTACTCTCAGAAAACTCCCGGATCTTGTGCGAAGAGTGGACGAGCTTTCCAAGGATCAAAGCTCCAGGCCAGGAAAACAAAGTAGCAACAAGCCCCCAAATGTGCGATGGCCTCCAACCTACTTGCGATGGCCTCCAAATTTGCGCTCCTAATCAGTTGGTCAGAATTGGAGAAAAAATGAGAACATGGAAAAGGTTGTCGGATAGGGGGTGCATGCGACAAAGACCCATCTCCAGCTTTCTCAGGTTGTACTCCTCATCGACCAACTCGAACCCCAGATCATCTCAGTCATCTCAGTGCCAGGCTTGTTTAGGATGTAGGTGCAAAAGCATCTGCAGAGCTTTGCTGCCTGCATCTTCTCTGCGAAGTTTTGGCCACACTTGGACTTGAAATTTGGAGTCCAGCATTTGGAACTGACAAAACCCATGAGAGAGGAGGTGACAAGTTCCGGAAGAGACGGGATAAGAGAATTGTCTTTGGAAGAAATTATGCTTCACAGGCATTGAGCCAACTGTGTGACAAACTGTTACTCGTCTGCAACTTTCCCGCCTCTTGCACAGTAACTGCCAACGCGAGCAAGCGGGCACGAGATCGGATCATGGCAAGCTTGGGCGATCGCCATACATGAGCCATGGCAACCTGTTCTACGCAGCTGTTCTGTCAAGCTGTTCGTGGTGGACATCAATGGCAAGCTACTAGGAGCAAAGGGCATCGCTACTAGGAGCAAGGACGCTACGAGGAGCTCCTGGCCGTACTATACTAGTAACAAGGACGCTACTAGGGGCTCCTGGCCGTACTACTGGACTGCACTAGTAACAAGGACGCTACTAGGGCTCCTGGCCGTACTACTAGTAACAAGGACGCTACTGGGAGCAAAGGGCATCGGTACTTCCGTGGAACCAGCCTCCCATGAGACCCTCAGGGCCCTCCCCTCTGTGCAAGCGGTCATGTTGTGTCCTACTGAGTTGGGTGCGTATGGTTCACCGGGCTCCGTGTGTTTCACAGTCAAGTCGAACATCCTTAAGCCGTTTTCCATCTGGGGAACTTCACTTCCTTGAGGCTTTTGAGAGAAGGGTTCAACATGGTTCAACTACTGTGTTAGTTTCAACTGCTTCGTCTCATCTCACAAACCGCACATACACCTTCAGTTTCGGCCAGGATGCCTTCCACCTACTGTCATCATATGCTTTCTTGTTCCTTCGATGTTTCAAGGAGACGCAGAGGGCTCTGGTGCCAACCCCTTGTGCAGCTCTTGTTCACATGATTCTGCATTCTGCTTGAGCAAGCTGCATCCGAGCACCCTTCACACACCAAACTTTCACACTTCGTGCTGGTCCTTCCACAGGCCCTGATGAACAAATGACAGGCGGCGCACGCTGGCAATTCCGTGCACCTTGTTGTCAAAGGTACCGGCATCCTGCGGCGAAACCACTGGTGGACTCCGGTGGTTCGATCCGTGGACTCTTGGAACTGGGGATGTGTTGAAAGGAGTCATTTAGGACTCTTGATTGACAAGAACCCCCATTTGAGTTGGAAATCCGAGTTTGAGTTTTGGGGTTTATGATGGTTTATGAATCAAGAGTCTACATTAGCTGGAACATCTGGCATGCGACCTTCAGATGTGTGTGTCGCGCCTTGGTGTGCCCGGCCGATTTTGCGGACGGCGATTCTATTGCAGCCAGGTCGTGTTGCCATGGTCTGGATCGCTAGAACTTATGTTTGCCAATCGAAGTGGGCCTATGCGTGAGAGTCGGATTCTGGGGAGAAGGCCCGCCTATTCTTCTATTTAGAACTGTCTTAAACTCTTAGCCCTTCAACGGTGAGTCAGAAAAGCAATCAAGACACCAAACAACAAGATTATAGTCTCTCCCACGTCGTCCTTTGACACTCCTCCAAAAAAGGAACTTATGAGCTACAAAAGGGTGCTGGATGGTGATTCTGAATTGGATCAGAGGTGTATCTCTGCCCACCGTTCTGGCAGCATCCGTGCGTTTGGTGCCCCGACAGACTTCAGGTTCCAAGCTCGTTCAACATGATGAGCCAAGGGGCACACATACGTGACCTGGGCGCAGCTGAAGCGATCTAAGATGGTGGAAATCATCTTCTGAAGACACATGGACCGTGAGTTGTGATGCATTTGCTTGGCATCGGTGATGTCCATGGAATCACTGTCAAAGCTCTATGGATGTGGGCTACTCAGTGAAGTTCTGTAATTGACAAACTTTGGAGATGATATGAGATGATAAAGAGCGATAGCCTCTCTCAATGTCAGAGGTTGGGGGCCTGGTTCCACACATCATCTAGCTGCAGCCTTTGAGATTTGCTAGAACCAAACTACGATTCCTCGACTTGGTGGGTTTCCTATGGTGTCCTCATGCAGCTGGCGAGGAATAGCTTAAGCAGCCCCAGAAGATCCCGGAAGCTAACCCAGCAAGAAGCACCTCGTCCCCTTTTTTTGTGCCTAATGCATTTGCTCGGCACTTTCCTGATCCCATGGGTGGGCCTCACCACAGCGGAAGCCAGAGAGGACGGGAGCTCAAAGATGAAGGAGTGTCACAGCCTTCCTCTTCACATTCATTCTCTCGACTCCTTTCGGCACCTTTACCGCAGTTCAGCAACGAGCATCTCTCATCGAGCGCCTCCGGCGACAGTTCCTCGTCAGGGTGCATCTGCATGAGCTCAATTAGCTCAACAAGGCCATGCAAGACCGAGCTGACAACGGTCGTGACAACAAATGGGCTCTGCGGTGCTCCGGCCCATGCGTAGAGAAAAACGTAGACACAGGCGAGGATGGCTTGTGGAATATCTTCAAAAAGCTGCAAACACAACCACGACCGACGATTCTCAACAAACATGGAAGCTTTGAAAGCAGCACAAAAGAAGCTGTAAAAGGAGAGGATCACGGTCGGAAGGTACAATGAGAATGTCAATGCAACCCATGCTCGTGGCAGGGCCTTCCAAGCACTCAACGCCACATTCACATCTGAAACAACATCAAACAATTGGAAAGGAACTTCCAACTTGATCAACATCAACTTGGATGTCTCCGACTGGCTTCCTGAAGGGAAAAGCTTTTTGAGTTCCATTCCCCATAGAATACAATACGCTGGCAACACATAGTAGTTCAAGGGTACGGTGTCATCGCTGCCAGGAACCGGGATACACCAGAGTATGGCTCGATCAAAGTGGCAACCCTCCTTTCTTCCCAAGAACTCAAAAGCAAAGGGGACTGCAAAGGTAGCTGCGACGCAGATGACCACAATGACACCCAAGACAAAAACGCAAAAGGCGCCTCGAACAAAGACGCAAATAAGAAACAGTGGAATTCCAGCCAAGAGATACAGGCAGAGTTCCGCACAATGAACAATCCACCGAATACAATGTGTTGCAAAAATGGCACCAGCCAGCGCAATGACCACAAGTGTACGGGCACAGTACAGGGGAGGGCTGTCAGGACTCTCAAGCAACTTTCTGAAAGATTCATGGACCCAAACTAAAGCACACACAATGCCCAGTAGCGCAAAAAAATAGGCTGCAAGGTGAAGGAGGCCAAAAATGGCGAGTAGCCTGTCATCGCCCTCATCACCAAATCTAGAAGCATCTAGATCTGGGAAGATGTCGAGTCTCGAATCCAGGAATGTCACAAGCAATGAAGGCCAGATTCCCAAAGGTGGAAGATCCTTCTGCCCCTTTTTACAGTGCATAGAGGCTGCACAGTAGAAAGATACTATCTGGCCATACCCAAACTCCACAGTCATAGCCAGCCCACCAAAGAACAGTCCCCTTTCCCAAGTAATGACAGTTGAAAGAAGTTCGGTCCAGGTGACCGACGGGCCCTGTTCTCGCTTCTGTTGACACTTCTCAATGACCTGCTCCCCCTCGTGGGGTGCTTGAAACGGGTTGAGACATTTGCCAACCTTCTCTGATGCTGTCTCATTGCACAAAGCCTCGTGGATTCCACTGATGAAGAAGAAAAGGGACAACCTGCATTACTGCAAGTAAACACAGGGTGGCCCAAAACCCTAAAGGGCTTGGGAGATCCTGAAACACTCCACAATTTTGGCTTGGGAGATCCTGAAACACTCCACAATTTTGGAAGTCTGCATGGCTGCGGTAAAGCAAAAACACATCGCGCCTTCAGATAACATTATCAAGTGCATTCGGGTGGGAGCTGCATTCCCAGGAGGGACCAAATCATGGATTCAATGGATTCAACCATATCAAAGCGCAAAATGATATGATATCAGGCTGGACTATGGCTCATGCAGCTTGCCTAACCTGGGGTGTATGTTCTTTCAACTATCAATCTCCTGAGTTTCGGGTTCGATTCTAGACTTTGAGAGCCACCTGAGGCTTCCGCGTAGAAGAGCTCTCCATCCGGATGCAGCTTGGTGTCTGACAGCGCAAGCGTTTGGAAGCCAAACCAGGACGAACACATCCAATGACTCCAATGGTTTGTGGTTAAGAGGCATGGCAAACGTCCGGTGCTTCAGATTTGCATATATATATATATATATGTATATATCCTTGATCTTTCATGGTTGAGGCTGTAAGTTTGAGTGAGAGAATACAGAATACAAGCCCTTGACGATCCAGTAAACGTGCTCTTGGGATAGTCACCCGCTTGACTTGGCACTGGCTAACTGTTCAAAAATATAAGGACTGGCAACATGTGAAACCCATTTCTCGCGAAGGGCTCTGGCCTCCACCTGAAATCTGTTGTCACAGAAGTCCACTGACGGAGTCGTTCCGCTGTGGAGGTGCACCGTGCTCCTTTAGAATAAGACTTATATAAGTAATCCTACCTACCGGGTGATGAACAGGTAATTACAAAGAATACAACACTGAAAAATACTAATACTCTTTTGAGAGCTCGGCTCGACATGTTTTTTTCACCAGCCCAATTCTCAAACTATCCTGTCAGGCTGTGCCAGTCCCACCTTGCTGATCCACGTCTCTCCACTTCCCCAGGGCGTCACTTGAACGAGTGACCTATGGCGCCAGTGTGCTCTCAACCATAACATTTGGAGCAGTCGAAATCTCTCATGCAATCCACCATCATTCAGTTGCCGTCAACCTTTTGAGTTGTTAAATTGAGTCCTTTCGCATACTTGTAAATATTAACTATATATATATATATATATTCGGCTGCAGCACTTAAGTCTGATCTAGGAAAAATTGAATCAGCTTCGGACGAAGCTCTTTTTCGCACAAGCTTGAGAAGATTCGAATCTGAAGTGCTTTGGCTATGTGACCCTATCACTGTGGCCTGGCGCATACCTCTGCAAGGTATACGGTTCCTACCCATACCTTCAGGCAAGCAATCCTCGTTCCGTGGCAGCTGTCCGCCGAGTGCCACCTTTTTCTGCATCATGGTGACTTGAGCGCTGATACCACTCTGCAGTGGCAATGCGGATGCAATTGCTGGTCACTGCATTCTTTTGGTTGGTTCTGCAGTGGCAATGCGGGTGCAATTGCTGGTCACTGCCTTCTTTTTGCAGATTTTTCCACTCCAATCTAGTCATGGGACTGACTTTCAGTATCCTCTTGACGAATTAGGCGTGGCACTCAGCGGACAGCTGCCACGAAATAAAGGCCGTCCGCGCGAAGACTTCGCCAAGCCGACTGCCGCCAAAAGGCCACACTGATGCACCGCAACCGCGGAAACACTGGCCGACAGCTGCCAGAGAGTTCCCTGCAACCGCTCCATCAGAGCGTAGGGTGTGGTGGGTGGAAAAGACAATTTTAAGAGCTAGAGGCACCAAGTTCTTCAGGAGAGACACTGCTTGAACCACTTTTGGCTTGAGCCTCAAGCTTCAAGGAGTGTACTTGAAATGAATGACATCAAATAATTCTTCATCACCGACCCTGCCTAGCTTGAATGAATGAATATATCGGTATGGCCATATTTCACAAGTACACGCATCGTTATCATTTTTCACGAGAGAACTCTATATATATATATAACAAAATACAATAAGAATTCATTTAAAAAAATAGATGTTGAACTCCATGAATTGTAGGATCTCCCACGCCTGGACCACCTGGAAGGGCGGCCTCAAGTCGCGCCAGAAGCGGAAGCGTGCCGCCCTGGCTGGAGGCATCAGTGGGCCACCGGTGTGTGACCGGTAGGTACCAAAAGGGTGGGTGGCGAAGGGTGCTGAGAGGACTATGAGAGATGTTTCTTCCTTAGATCTTAGTCTCGTCTCATTTCGTTGATCTTTGCTGCTCTTTTGAGTGACTGACCACAACAGTGAAGCTAGGTGTCGAAGTGCAAATATGATTCGCCCTTCCATAAAAACTAAACTCTGGAGACTCTTTACTTGAGGTGTGTTGCTTGGCGGACAACTGCTCGCGATTTCCTGATTGGATCCAGCCCTGGGCCGGGTGTGATGCTCTCGGGTGCCGAGTCGTCTTGATCGGCCAAAACGCTGGGGAGATTGGAATCTGACGGTCCATGTGCAACGATTTAGGCCGACTGTTTGGTCTGCCCAAGTATGAGGGCCATGTCCCGTGATGCTTCTCTTCAAGCCGGTGACAGCCTGCCAGACTAAGACCCTTCTCAAGAACATTTGAGGATGACCCTGTACCTAACATAGAGTACTACATATCCAAAGTGTTAGCAATTGACTTGTTGTCAAAAATATCCGGTCAAGGGCCACGCGAGAACTTCGTGTCAAGATCTTCTTGGGCCCGCACCCCGAACGCAAGGCCACCGGAAGGTTCTGGAAAAGCGGCCGCTTCAGAAATTGGGGGTGGGACTGGTGACTAGTGAGGAAGTGTTCATATGCTGAACCGAGGTTCGTTGGCAAGGGCCCCGTCGTGACATGTTAAGTTGGTTGGAACAAAATTGGCGCTACGTCGCCAAGCTTTGATTCCACTCTGGAGTCTGAATTGAGCTCCTTGGGACGGCTGAAGTCCCACTACAGTACTTGATTGCAGGAGAAGGTTCATGAAACTTCTATATGTCGATTTATGTTATCCTATATCAACCTCCAGAAAAGTGATGCAACAAAGATGCCAGGCACATGGGTTCACCAAGAAACTGGACCGAAATCGCCCGTTCTGCACGAAGAAATTTGTTTCTCTCCAGTGCCTTGGGATCCAGGAATTCCCCAACCTGGCGTGAGGGACGGCCACACCGCGCTGCTGCCGGGGATGTCTTTCGCTCTGTAGGCCCTTCAAAGGCTAGTGGTGGTTTGCTGGCCTGAAGCGGTGCCCGTTTGGACCACCAAGTGGTCCCCGGAGGGTCCATTCATGTGCTTCGAGTCCTTTCGAGTCCTTCGTCCTTGGGAAATGCGTCCTCTGCAGGAAGCGATCGTGTCTTTCCAACTTGGTCCAAGCAACCTGTGGAAGTAAAAAGAACGAGTTGTCACATCGTCTTTTGACCTAAAACCAACTCATGGTCATATATCATTCCGCTGGCACCTATATCAGCTGTTGCTGAAACCTGTCTCACCTGCTGCTGCTTCCAATGATGTGCTGGATTATGTACGTATCACAGCCATCTCGCAGCGAAGTCTGGAGCCTTGGGCAAAGGTGCTCTTCTAACAGTTGTCGATCGCGTGACCCGCGGAAGTGATGTGGAAAATGTCTAAGTCTAAGGCCAGCCAGCCCGAAAAAAAGAAAGCCCATACAAGCCAGCTAAGGCAGAAGGGAGGTTTGGTGGTAGTCCGTCATGTTCAGTCCACTCTACCCCTTTGAGACAAATCTCTGCCGGTCTCTGCAGGTCACCGAGATCGTGCCTCTTTGCGCTGCGGATGATCTTCCTGGAGAGATGGAAGGATCTCCGGTTTCTTGTGCCACGGTCTCAACTTGCAAAAGCATGTCAAACAAACATGGCTCAGCCCAAAATTCGTGGGCTGAAATGCCTGACTGCAAACCTTATTTGTAATGCCTAGACCCGGATCTGGCTAAGCCTTTCACGTGGTACTCTCAGCAGATTAACATCCTCAAGGGACGTGTCTACTCAATCTGCAGCATGATTTGGAGTCTCTAGCTACAGGCCGCATCGATCCAGCTCCCTGAGAAACCCCACATCTCGCTGAATGTGGTAGTAGGTCCAGGAGATCAAATGCTCAAGCCTCAGCTTTGGCTCCAAGCAGAAGGCTCCCCAACAGCTCCTTGTCATCCATGCTGTTCGAAACAAGGTGATAAAAGGCTTAAAGGAATTTATGGATCCTTAACCTGAAGTGATAGAACTTTCTTGGTCTACCATATTTAATTGGGGATCAAAGATTGAGCCAACTTCAAAGAAGGCAGGCTGCTTCTGAATCAAAATGAAGCACACCGTCCACTCCAGCACGCTCCAGGTCAACTCGGTGCCCAGGTGGCCCAGGCATTCCCTTCATCCGCATCACACTGTCTTTGCTCCAGTTGGGCACCTCAAAAACACTGGAAGGATGGTCAACGATGTGCAGTGCCTCGCCTTCGATTGTAAGAGACTAAAACAATTGTTGCTCCTAGACTTGCAGGACGTGATCTCGATCTCTCTCTCTCTCTCTCTCATTGAATCTCCTTGTTTTTTTTTCCTCCGTGCGAAGAACCGGGACCTTTGAGGAAACCGACCATGTCAGGTTACTCCCTTGAAAGAAGAAAACTGTGAAACACCACCGTTTCGCGACGTTTGAACACGGGAAACACCCGCGAGGGAGCCCGGGCCGTTCCATCGATGAAATCACGCCTTGGTTGCAACGAAAACACTCTCCCGGAATCTTCTGTGTTCACCTTCCAACTTCGCACTCCATTGGCGACATGGGTCCCCTACTGCAAGGCATGGACAAGCCGCAGATCCGCTTGTTGATATTTATCCCTGCTCACGAAAGGAAACTTGATTGTGACATGAGCTAGCAGCTAGCAGCTGGTGACAATCTTGCTCCAGCCATGAAAGGCTACAGGCAGCCGAGGGGTGGTGGTTGAGTGGCAGAAGACGTGTGTGTATCCGTCGAGCACGAACGAGCAGCCGAGTCACTTGTCGAGGGAGTCTTTAACTGCCGCGTTTCGGACTTCCTGCAAGCTGAGCAGCTCCAAAGCTTTTGGGGGTATCAAGCCCGGTGTCACATTGTTCAAAGCGAGATTGAGTTAGACGATGGGCCAGCACGAATCGCTTTCATGAAACGCGCGAAAGCTAAGAACCGAATGGTCGGCTGCAGTGACCGGTCCCCACCGGACCGAACATGCGTACGACCGAATCTCTTCGTGGAAAAAGAAGGAATTCGACACACTTCTCTTTTGGCCAAAACGGATCGTCGATATCCATTTGTTCATATCATAACAGGATCCACAAAGGAATGTCCCACATGAACATGCGGAAACAACCAATGGGCCCCTCAAAAACCATTAAACAACAATGATACAAAGGCAAAAGGTGGTGTGTCTCAAAAAGGGATCCTCTTCATCTTTCTGGGCTTGAATCTTTATCCATCCGTCTCCCCTTCATATTGTTCTTAGTTTAACTGCAATCTAGAAAGAAACATATACATATACAGTTCATAACACATATCTATATATATATATTGCTTTGTATCACGTTCTTTCTTCTTGGTTCTTCTGGTTCTCAGTGTGTCCTTCATTCTGCGATACCTGTCTTGCATGTTTCGCTCCCACCCCTCCGAGCAATATATTGCCTTCAGGATCACGTGCCCCCGTTGGGCCCCCGGGCATCCACATCACGATAGGCTGAGGCCAGAGGCTTCCAGGCTCGGACGCCCGAACCCTCACCGAAGAACAGGATGCGAAGCCAAGCGAATGCATCGTTGCTCCAGTGGTTGCAGTCAGCACATGCAGAGTCAAATGCGTTTCTTTCTTTGACCAAGTGCCGTTTGACATTGCTTGTTGGCCACAGCTTTTGAAGAGTGGATGGAGGGGGCAGCCTCCACTAGACATGAATGCAAACAAAAACTGCAGCCAGCAGAGATGAATCAAGGATCTGGACCCAACAGATGCAAGGACAACCAACCGCCATCAAATTCATATAGAAACCTCTCCTCGTCTCGTGCTGAAAGCAAGAACCCAAGCCACAAAAGAAATCCCTCGGATGGGCCCCCCGACAGGACAATCCTTGGTGTACCTGACAATTCTGGTGTCAGCATCAGTATATGTCGTTGATTCATCGCCCAACATGTTCCAAAAAGCAAGGAACTGGCGCACCAGTTGGCCAAGGATGGGGAGGACGTTGCATGGAGCAAGGGAGCACTTTGGATTCGACCTGGCGCGCGTTCACGCAGGGAGAATTGACGTCTAACATGGGATGGGTGGCATTGGCTGACAATTGGCCAAAAATCGCTAAAGGAAAGTCATTCCAACCAATCCCTGAAAAATGAAATCTCATATTACAATAGATAGATAGATAGATATCAGTTTTTCAGTTTCGGGCGCTCTCGAGTAGTCTCAAGAAAGCGGGGCACAAGGTATCTTACCTTGGTTGATACTGTGATCAATCTCGCCGCACCGAGGTGCTCTACATTGGCCAATGGCCGTTTCTCAAGCACAAACATTCTCACTGATGCCAAAAACCGCTATGGCAGCATCGTGGAAACTCGAAGGCTCGCGTGCTATCAGTTGGTACCTGTGGTTCACATCCATAGGGAGAACACAGCAGGTGAACATTTGGAAGTGGGGAACAAACTTCAAACGGTCCAGCTCAATCTCCTCAGGAGAGGGCACGGGACATCAGTACAGATACCTCCACGTGACCAGCACAGTCACCTCATGGGTTTTCCATTCGACCTTAGCTCATGTGATTGAGCTCAATCTCCTTAGGAGAGGGCTTCAAAAAATCAGCTCAGAGCACTCAGTTGATGGAGTTCAGAAAGGCACCAAGGTCCATGCTGGCTGCTCGTTCCTCCTCAGCAGATCTCCCATTGGGGTCCCGCTCCAATCGTCGTGTTGAAGTCACAGGAAACTGGTAGAGGATCAGCAGGTCAAGACAATATCCATGAACATGACATCGTACATGTTGTAGACGTCCTTGATGCAGGTCAGCAATCGACCAATACGTGCTTTGGAGGAATACCACATCTACCATCTGCAGTGTGAGCCACTGCATAAGCTCAGTGAATGAAGCCGTGGAAAGAGCCATGGTGTTCCAAGTCATCACAGTCATTCGCTTCCTCCGGCTTAGGTGGTAAGGAGGTGGTACATGATCCCTCAAGCACGCAGGTTGCGGAGACCAAGTGGGTGCATTCATCAAAACTTGCCCTCTGTATAGAGCAAACCCATGCAGTGCCAGTCTTTTGTACGCACGCTTCAGGCTTCGTTTCTTGATGTTGGTGATCCGGATCCTACAAGCCCTCCGCCCAGAAGTTCAGGGTGATTCTTCTGGAACATCAAATTTTGATTTCCCCTTTCAGGATAGTGCTGGGCCACTATCCAACCTTCCCCTTTTCCGCTCCAACAAAGTGTGTTGAACTCACCAAGGTGCTCAGGAACGGACCCGGAATTAGGACCGGGCAGCAAAGAACTGCCAGCAACATAGGGCAGCCACCAATCCAAAGGTCTAGCAGAAAACCAAACCAGGAGGAGCAAAGCACGGACTGCAAAGAAGTGCAACCAAGTCATGGCTGCAGCCGTGGAGCGTGGCCGGGCATGGCCATTCGATGCTGAAAGGCTGATAGATAGATAGATAGGTAGATAGGTAGATAAGTAGATAGTTTTTTTTGAGTTTGATTCGCTCTTCGGACATCCGAAAACTGCGGGGCATCAACGGCACGCAAGCCGCCGGTTCCTCAATTGGGAACTTGCACCGTGGTGCTCTAGGCCAAATCGCTTCGGACAGACAAAAGCTGCTGTAGCATCTATCCCAGCCAAAATCAAAAATCAACCCTAAATCAAAATCAAAGCGTCAGAGGAGTCGGGAGCACCTGTAATGCTACGACCGCTCCTGAGAGGCATCCTGATGGTCAACACCAGGAGCCATCCTCTTCAATTTGCATCAGAGTGCATCAAATTTCATCATCTGCCACTACTCAGGCGCTGCAGCACCGGTGGTCAGGCCTAGCTCGAGGCGCCAGACAGCCGCTAGCGAGGGCAGCAGCAAGTGTCAGCGCCGGATCAAGCAGCCGCCAGCCAGTGTCTAATGACGTTCAAGCCAAGTTGCAAGATCAGGGGTGTCTCTAATGCCAAAGCAATTGCTTTGGATGCGGAGTTCTCGGTGCGTGTAAGTTCTGCCGAGATGCAGGTTGAGCTCCGCAATGCACAGGTGCTCGGTGCGCAGACTGGCTCCTGATGCAGGTTTCATTCCACAACCTAGGCAGGGTAAGGAGCTCAGGCACTTGTTATGCTGGCGGCTGGTATCCTCCAGGAGTTCCGGAACATATTCCGGATGTCTGATCCTGACGTGTTGGGCCAAGGCGCGATGCGAAAGGGTCAGGCGACCGCAAATGCTGCAATGAGCTCTCAGCCTCTGGATCCAGTCTCCCGGAAACTCATCCCAGTCCAGGCCCGCAGTTTCCAGGTGCAAGGTCATCTGGTCCGTGGCATGATCCAGTCCAAACTGCCAGAACTTGGGGGTGATAAAATGGGTCCAGACATCACGGACCATCCATACACTGACCCAATTGGTGAGCAGTGGCGGTTCCTGAAAGAAGCGGGCTTCCTCATGGTCGTTGAAAAGAAACCAGCCCTCCCTCGACCTTCCGATGGCCTGGATGTGTCCTGAACCATCTTCTCCCCTGTGCAGGATCCCTCCTATCACCACATACGGGATGGCACAAGTGGCGAGTGAGTCCTCTGCTTGAACTGGCAGTAGCACAACATCAGGAAGATCCAGCTCCCATTCATGCCGATGGACATCGCCTGAGTGCACAGAGCGAAACCGATCAAGATGCAGGTTCACAAGTTTGCCGCTATGCACAAATGCTGTGGACATTCCCATGTAAGATGCCCATGAGTCCACAAGCTGTTGGAGGCTGATCTTTTTGGCATGGGCCGGTGCGCAGATGGTTGGTGGTGTGAACCTTGAACCTTCGTCAGCGGTCTCAACCACTTGGTCGACCCACACCCGTCTCTTCCAGCGCAGGTGCACACACAAAGGCTGAGTCCATCGAAGAAAGGCGGCAAGGAATTCCCCTGCGTCCTGCTGCCTGTTCCCCCAGGCAGACAGAAACGTATCAAAGCAGCTTAGCCGCTGAAGATTGATCCATAGACTTTCTTGAGTGAAGAGCTCCTCAATGAGTGGGTACAGCTGGCCAAAGTCTTGCCACATGGCACTGCCCATTTGTGTCATGCACCATAGCAGGGAGACAACAATGGCATTCTGGTAGCATTGATGACCTTCGTTGCTCAGCCGTAGGGAAGCAACCATCCCGCTAAGGCTTCCGCTTGGACAGGCTGTTGCACACTTTGATCAGCTGGGCCGCGGCATGATTCTCCTTGTTGATGTGTGGTCTGACCCTGCCCATGACTAGACACCATATTGAGGAAGCGGTCAAAAGCATCAGGATCTCGTGGATTCTCTCCTTCCTGGGATGCAACTGCAGTAACCAGGGGCTGACCTGAGGTTTCGCCCCATCCCTGCTTTCCGGTTTGAGGGACTTGAGCCTGAGGACCGACTCCCCCTGCGATGCTATCTCCACCAGCTCCTCGATCAGGCTCTGCATGGTGGTCATAGAAAGAGCGGTCTTGTCCGTGGGAACCAGGCGTTTCTCCTTTGGATTCCACGCCAAGTAGGGCCATGACCCGTGTTCCGTGATCACCTGATGGGTGATACCCTCTTTCCAGATCTCGGATCCGACTTTCGAGGTGGCAATCCTGAGGAATCGGTCTTGGAGTTGTTGCACGATGGTTTGAAATAGCACATTCTTCAAGGCCTGTTTGGCCGTTCGGTTCTCCATGGATTGCTTCCATTCCTGTGATTTCTTCATCAACTGCGGGACGATGCCCGACGGTGCAAACTGCAAGAACATCAGGAACGTGTCGGTGGTCTGAAGGGACTGGATGTAGCCCTCCTGACGAAGTGTCAGGGTCGTCAGGAGCTGCAGAGCTTGGACGATGGGCTCCGAGGAGGAGGCTCCGGATGTCCCTTGTTGGCTTTCCATCTGCCCTTTGGTTCTCTTGTGAGCCGGCTGCCTTTCGTCCTCCTGAAGCATTGAGCCGAAGGTGTCCCCGATCTGAGCCATCAGTTCGTCCGCTCCATATTCGATCATCGGCATGGAGGAGGATGTGGTAGGCGAGATTCAGGGCTACCGGACAGTCTACGATCTCCTCTGATTTCAAGCAGAAGTTGCAGCAGAACAAGTTCGGTGAGGTACACCGCTCCAGTTGTCCAAGGGCTTCAGCGTACGTGTGTGCATGCACTTGTTGCAGATGTTGGTGCAGTTGTTCCAATTCAACTTTGGTTTGACAAACACTGCAAGTGGTGCTGAGCCAGGTACGCCAGGACTCCCTTGTCCAGAAGGTGGTTGGTTCAGAGGTCGATGGAGCCGAAACCTGCATATCAGCGGAGACCGATGGTGCCACGGAGCGAGGCTGAAGAGCATGATACAGTACTGCTAGCTGGGCATAAATCATGCATTTGTGTCCCCGCTTCGTGTACTTGTTGCCACACTTGCATTGTCGACCTGAAGCAAGGGCCTCATTCTGAAGTCTGTCTTCAAGATCACGAGAGAGGCTCAGCAGCTCTTGGTGCTCCTGTTGAAGATGCTGCAAAACTCCACCAGGTTTACTCGACAGGCGTCCGCACAGGACGCATCGTGCCTGCAGTGCAGTGAGATAGTCATTGTCGGCAAGGATGTTGTCGATGTCGAGGTCCAGGATGAGTGCCTGCAGTTTGGACCAGCCCATGGGCACATGAGAGCCGAGGGGTCGATCTGCATGGAAAGAGCGACAACCTCCCTCGATGTGGGACTTCAATCCAAAGTGATTTTGAAGGACAGCATGACAATGAGCACATGTCGGGGTGCCATCTGCAGAGTCTCGACCTGGCTGGAACTCTGCTTTGGTGATCCGGCCATTGAGTTTCCTGCGTTTGGAAGCTTCTGGAAGTGGTAGATCAGGATTAGGTACAGGAGGCGGTACCACCAAGACTGTACCTGTGTCAGCTTCTGCAGTGGTGATGTCGCTCTTTACCAGAACCTTTAAGATCGCCATTTGTCGTACAGCATGACAGCTGTGGGCAACATTGACATCCTTTCCACACGCGCTGCAGGCCTTGAGTCCACGAAGGAAGTGCATGATCTCAGCTGTATAGTGCATCGAAGCTGCCCAAAGAGCCTGGTGCATGCGATGGACGTGCTGTAGCAGTTCCTTTCCATTCGCAAAGAAGCGTCCACACAAGATGCATTGCTCTCGAATCACCTGAATGAGGGTCAGGTTCTCAACAAGAGCTTGCCAAGCTTGCTTCCTGGCATAATCACGGAGCTCTTCTTGATCGGCCGGGGCAACCTGCCAGGCAAGAGCTAGATCAAAAGTTGAACAATGACCCTGTTGTATATGGGTTACGAGGCCTCTCCAGGAGGCAAGCTTTCTGTGACAATGGCAGCACTGGGGTCGGCCTCCTAACGAATCCCGTAGCGTTTCAAATCTTTCAAAGAGACCTTTGGTCTTGTGTTTTTTGGACAAATGTCTGTTTAGCGTGGATTGTGTGGTACTGACATGTGCACAATATGGACATGAGAAAACGGCATCAGTGTCCTGTGGAGTGGACTTCGGCAGAGCCTCAAACACTTTCATGACACGCTGTTGAACCTTGTCCAAATCAAGAATCCAAAGGAAATCAGTCGGGTCAAGGCTCACACGCGTGCTTCTGAGTCGTCTAAAGGTGCCCAGCCATGAATCCTGCAGTAGTCGCATTGGTGCAGGGATATGAAGGGGTGCACACAAATCTGCAGTTGTCTCATGAGTGATGTGTGCAGGTGAACGAGCCACACGCCGAATGTCAGCACTTAACCGATGTGTAAGCTGTTGTAATCCGTCCTGTCGGAGCCCGGCGCTGCAAAGGCCATGGCACAGACTTGTCTGGACACACGTTTGCCACAAGTGAAGACGATCGCGTGTGGTCAATCCATTTCGGCCGCATAGCCACTTCTTGAGGCGCAGGTTGGTTGTTTGACTCAGTTGCATGCGATACTTGAGCGTCTGTTGTTCGAAGGTGTTGAAGCTGATCTTGACACCCAGATAAGTGTGTGAGTCAACAACTTTCAGAAGTGTGGGTTCACCTCGTCGTGGTATCTTGATCCATCGATGTCCCTGCTGATGAACAAACAGTCTTTTCAGGATGGACTTGCTTGAGGCCCCTGCAAGCTTGAGAAGCAAGACTGTCTTCTCTTGGCTTATGCTTAGTCCATGATGCTCAAGAAGATCAAGGAGCATACCTATTTGTGTCAACGCAGTCGTAAGATCTTCAGGCTTCTCCAACATCCAGCGACCTAAAATGTCGTCAGCGTACACCAAAAGGTGTCGAAGAATCCAACCAGGGGCCACATGAGGCATGCGGTCATAGAGGTCATGTTCCAAGCATTCAAGGAGAAAAACCATGAAGGCATTCCACTCCAGGGGGGAGGCCTTGCAGCCTTGTCTAACTCCCCTTGTAGTTAGGATCTGCAGTTTATGGCCCCTGTGAGCGATGGCATATCTAGCACCCTCAAGCCAGTGCATCAGCACAGTGCTCAGCTCTGGAGGACATCCGCAGAGATGTAGGCCTTGTGCCAGCTGCGGTCGTGGCAGTCTGTCGGGTGCTTGCTTGAGATCTAGTGAAAGAATGAGGCCACCACGGAGGCAATCTTTGGGAGCAGGTCGTAGACGCCAGGGTCCTGGAGCAAGTTGTTTGCATGCTGAGCGGACATGGTCACAGAAGTCAAAAATGATAAGTAGTGCATCAAGAACTCCTCGGTGTGGAAGGTAAGCAACCAATGGGAGCTGGCACATTCGAGGGTACAGTTCTTGGTGTATTCGTCGAACATATCCTCCCAAGACAGCTTTTCCCAATCCGCATGTCAGTGCAATGGGACGCAAGTCACCAGGTGTCAGAACCTGTCGTTTGGGAAGAAGTGCCAATGTAGCATCCTTCCACATTTGTGGAATGCACGGTGCAGTCCTCCAGGATTGTTGAAGGTATCTGTGAAGCCAATCTCCAAGAGCTGGAGCAAGAGCCCTGATCAGCAGTGCCGGGATCGTTGATGGTGCAACAGCTTTGTACTTTTTGGTTTGCGCAAGCTGAAAAACAAGCTCTGCTTCTGTCAGCAATACAGGTGTGCAGGTGTCTGTCGTTGTGGGAGCCTCTGAGGTCTGAAAGATGGGAGCAAAGTGACGTTCCATGTGATGAAGTTCCTGTTCCGCCAACATCGGTTCTCCAACAGAGCCCCTGAAACGAACCATGCGACGAACCTGCTTCGGGGTCAGGAGGCGAATGGCTTGGTATAGTGCACGAGTGTCATGTGCAGCAGCGGCCCTGGCCGCATCAGCTGTAATGGATCTGAATCGTTCCTTTTTCTGTTCGGTGCAATGCTTAGCTAGGAGTCGATGACAACGAAAAAACCGGCTAACATGAAACCAAACATGAAAGCATTTCGAGAGAGGCATCGTGTCACCCAAACCTTGCCTGGCAAGATGGAGATGCTTCCATTTCTGTGCGACCAGTGACCGGGTGCTTTCCTTCATCCACAACGGCAGTTTGTTGGTGGGAGCACATGAAAACATGTTCTTACTTAGGTGCATGATTTGCCGCACTGGGAACTGGACATCCAAGGCTTGGTCTGAGGCAAGAGAATCATGAATCTTGGTCTGAAAATCCTGCCAGCTCTGACTGTTTGCCCTGTAATGGTGGTCAATCAGCTGTAGGTCCTGTTTGGTCAGTGTGACACAGGGCTTCTGCTTGGGGTTGTACCAAACCTTCCAGTCCACAGGAATGCTGCTGAGAATGGGCACATGGTCAGGAAAGGCACGTGCTTGAAGCAGAGGGAAAGAAGTCAAACAAAACGACCCATGTGCCTGCCGATCGGCTTGCGCACGTCGCATGAACACAAAGTCAATCCGAGATGATCCCCTGGGACCGATGAAGGTAGGACTGGCGTCATGAACCCTGAGACTGGTGAGACCAAAGTCACTGATGAGGTTACGGAAAGTGCCAACATCTTGAAAAGAAGAAGCACTAGACCGCTCAAGACTGGTGTTAAAGTCACCTCCAAGCACAAGGACATTCCGATAGGGTGCTGACCGAATCTGCTGTTCAAGGGCATCCCAAAGCTTACGTCGAGCTTCAAAAGGAGCTGGGCGTCCCTGAGTGGACTGCGTTGTGAATTGGTAAAAATTAATCAAATCTATCGTCCCCCATGGAGTTTTGCATTTGATCAACTGCAATCTCCCTGGCCAAGGGTCACTGAACGAAATGTCGTCTTTGGTGCAGACCCGAGAGCTGATCAAAGTCAGAAGGCCTGCATTGTCCCTTGCAGCGGAAGCCGAGGGGACGATGTGGTAGCCGTGGCTTGACCAGGGCTGCTCCAGGGTCCATCTGGTAGCTTGGAGGAACACCAGGTCGACACTCTGTATGGATAGCCAGATCAAAAGCTCCGAGAATGCAGCCGTGGTCAGGGAGCAACAGTTCCAGCTCAAATGTGAAAGTCGGCGACGAGCTTTGCTTCTGGTGGGCTTCCCAGTCGGCACCACCGGGGTTTTGGATGGTGAGTCAACAGGGATGCTTGTGTAGATGCGTCCTTTATAAATCGAAAAACCATGAAGCATTAATCGCTTCTGCATCCTGGCAAAGCTGCGTTTCCTAATCGTACGAAGATTGGTGCATGCATGTAAATTTGGCGTCCCGTGGGACTCTACAGGCCCTCTGCTAGGGAATTTGGGGTGTATCGATTGTGGGACGTGTCGATTCCGGTCCCCTCCGGAGAGCATCCTAGCCTGCCCTCCACCCTCACCTCCACCTTTTCCGGAGCAAACACTATTCAATGCAAGAGGCTCGATGAAAAAGGTCCGGGAATTGGGACCCGGTCGACCGCAAGCAGCTTGGAGATCGTGATCAGCAAGCTTCCACCAGCAGCAGGACAGCAGCAACAGAGCTGCCAGAAACTGCCGCACTCCCAGCCAGCGTGTCATGGCGGTGACATTCGAAGAATCATGCGTGGCCGGGACAGCCGCTTGGGTCGAAGAGGCTTTGAATACGGTGGCGAATAGCCAAACAAATCCTCCACATAGCGGCCCAGCATTGAGGCGAACACTGACAACTCTCCATTGGAGTTATCAAACAAGTCTCCCAAAGAATTCCTCATATTTCCAATGTTTGGGACAATTGGAGGATTGCCAACCATCAGGGCGCTGCCATGAACACCAGCGGCGCGCATGACATGAGTCAACGCTACTGCGTATGGTACACCTAGCAAATACATCCTGACCATCACATCAGCCACCGGTCCTGGTCCAATCGCTTCTAGGCAGAACTGGAACACACGATAGGTAGATAGGTAGATAGGTAGATAGGTAGATAGATAGATAGATAGGTAGATAGGTAGATAGATAGATAGAGAGAGAGAGAGAGACAGATCATGGACTCCTCTTGTGGCTAGATCTTTGCAGTCCAAAACTCAAAATGGTTATCTTTTTTGCGGGGGGGATGGTGGCTTCAAAGCCAATCCAGCCAAAAGAATTTCGTGAAGCCATGTCCAAATAAGTTTTCTTTTACGTCCTGAGCTTCGTACCCATGGTGCGATTGCTGGCGAGCGAAAAGCCCCCTGTGGAGCGCATGGTGTTCTGGCACGTGGCGGACGGGGCACTTGAACAGTCAAGCACCGAAATGTGGACCGGTCATTAGTAGCGATGCCTTGTGCTACTAGTAGCGATGCACTTGCTACTAGAAGCGATGCTTTCAGATGCTTTAGATGCTCTTGCTTCCTGCCAACCCAAATGGCAATCACTGGCCGAACAGTTCCTGATGATCCACCGGCCCAAAATGAGCTCTCAAAGACACAGGTCGCAGCACCCTGGTGGTTGGCGATAAGGACACATCCTGGGCCAGAGGTTCATTGATGAATCTATTCTTGAACTGTACGTATCACGCCCACTTGGTGAGGAAAATGCTGAAGTTTCAGACCAAAAGGGGCAATAAGCGATCCATAACCGCATAAAACTTGGAGGACCAGAATCTAGAAAAAAGTCAGGAGAAGGATCTTCAAATTAGATCAACACCAAAAACGTTTGTTCTTAAACAAATACTCTGTCAGGGAATGTTCATCCATGTTGATCCACGTCTCATAGATCGAAAGGCTCCCCCCGTTTGATCTGATCTCTTGATCTTTCTAACATTCCAAGGTCACTGGTAATTTGATGTTGTATTTTAATAGGCAAACACTCAACTAATGGGTTTTCGTCATGTTCCTTCTTCTAGGGAGTCTTTGGAAGGTCTCCCTATCTTTGATACACACCTATATGGCTCCATTTGTTCAGCGAAATCGCCAAGAGAAAGGAAAGGTCCGTTCTGGTCAGTGTGTGTGAATGCTCCCCGGTCGGTGTGCCTGGGAATGGCACGACAATCCAGTGGTGGGGAATGCTGCAAATCCCTAATGGCCCTAAATCGAAGCACTTTCTGTTGCACCTTCCTTCGCATGCCATGACCCAGTCGTGAAGTTTCGCGGAGATTCAACGTCCGTGTGGACAGTGACAGATTTCCACACAACAAACAGTTGAGCGGCTCCAGAGCTCCGATACATCATCTTTACAACCAAAAGTCAGAAAACTTGGCTCAGGTTTTTGTAATGCGCCATTTATTGTGTGGGGGAAAACGCCTCTGGAACGAAAAAAACCAGATGCAGATGGCGCAAGCCATGTTAGGCGAAAAACCGTGACAATGAATGGGAAACTACTAGTCGGGGATGGGTTTGGCGCCATCTACTTTTACAATCCGTTTCGTGAAAGACCGCTATAAAATGTTTGGCCCTGAAAGCAGCAAGCACGACATTAGATGGCGCAAGCCACCTTTCCAATGATGTGTTTTGAGTGGTTTCTGTGAAATGATGTGTTTTTTTGTGAGAGCGGTGTTGCAAAGAAAGTCGGCAAGAGGAACCCATGAAAGCACCATAGATGGCGCAAGTGGCAAACTATCTAAGAATTAAAAATTAACTAGCTACTTTTGGGGCACTTTTCTCCTCTCCCCCTGTCTCTGTGTCTATTCCCTTTACGGGCCGAGAGGTCGGAACGGGTTCGACCTCTTCGGAACGGGGGGAGACCGGTGAGCGAGGAAGCCATGCGCAGGAAGGACCGTCTCCGACACAGCACCTCCACGGCAAACGATCTGGTCCACCGGTCTCCCCCGTAAAGGGAATAGACACAGAGACAGGGGGAGAGGAGAAAAGTGCCCCAAAAGTAGCTAGTTAATTTTTTATTGTTTTGTTATTTTCCTGGTCATATTCCTTCAGTTCCTGTCTTCCATTGATGTTTCAAGAGTTTTGAGGCCATTTCTTAAACTTTAGGATTTTTGTATTTTTAAATATTTTTTGAAAATTTGAATATAGATTAATCATTCTTGATTAAGATTGTAGGCAATTGAACAAATCGACATCACAAGCATCTCAAGCATCACCAGCATCATGATCACCATAAACAACAAGAACAACACTGGCACAAAATGACTCAGTAGATGGCGCAACCCTTGTGTGAAAGAAGATAATGATGGTTGCGCCTATAGATGGTGCAACTCATTTCCCTCTCCCCATTCCTTCTTGTATCTAACATGTTCCTTTCTTTTTCATTTCCTTTAGCTTACAGTAATTCTTTTCACTTCTCCTTTCCCTTTCCTTCCTTTCCCCTTCCAGGGAATGGAATGGGAGGGGAAGGAGGGGAAATGAGAAGTGAAGGAAAGGAAAGAAAAAGGAGAGGAGAGGGAAAGGATAGGAAAGCAAAGGTGAGGAAAGGAAAGCAAACACAAGAAAAATAAAAAGAAATAGATGGAAAGACTAGTCCAGAAAAGGAAGGGGAAGGGAAGGGAAGGGAAAGGAGAAGTGAACAGAATTAATCAACAGGAGATGAGAAAAAAAAAGGAACATGTTAGATACAAGAAGGACTGGAAAGGATAGGGAAATGAGTTGCGCCATCTATAGCCGCCACCATCATTATCATCTTTCACACAAGGGTTGAACCATCTACTTGGCAGTATCTATTGGCTCAACCATCTTAATCATCTTTCACACAAGGGTTGTGCCATCTACTGAGCTATTATCGTGCAGCGTTCTGTTATTGGTTCAAGTGCAAGTGCAAGGAAAGGGAAAGGTGAAGGGAAAGGCAAGGGAAGGATAGAGAAAGGAGAAGTGAATGAAGGAAAGGAAAGAAAAGTGCGAACGGATGGAAAGCGTGCCCCCGGCCCCGTTCTAGCCCTTAGTTTAACATGAAGCTCGCGCGCTAAAGCTCCTTTTTACCTGGTTGGGCACTTGAGCCAAAAGTATATGGCATGTACCTGTATAGCGACTATACTGAGACCTCATCCCTATTGACACCCCCCACATCCGTGCTTCGACGGGGAAGGGAGATGAGTGGATGTAAAAAACCGGAGAACGAATCATGTTCTCAAAAGTGCATTGGAGGTCAACCAGTATGTCTTATTGATCTGAATTAGCAAACGATCTTGCATTCGCTTGAAAGTTGGATCAAACAGGTAACGGAGCTACAAACGGAAAACGTGCATCTACCTATGGTATCCTGCGATTACCGACGGTGTGAAACACAATCCTATTTCACTCCCATGATGCCAAAATGGTCATCATGAATTACCCAGGATCCCTCAGTACTTGAAGTACCGGAAGTAGTATGTCGGTATGACCCCGATGCTCAACCATTCGTGAGTTGTCGCATGTAGTCAGCTCCGACAAATCCAATGTAGTCCTTGATGAGCTCCACGTTCCTTGGGTTTCCCCTCCGGATCTGCTCCTCGAAGGACTTCAACTTTTGTGTTTGAGTATCGGATACCTCTATGCCGTAGTAGCGGCATGCAACGAGGATCTCCTTTGTGGCATTCTTCCGCTCCGACTTGATGGCGGGGCTAATGTCGATGAATTTGTATGGAGCGGCACCTTCATCGTCTGGTTTCTGGTAGTAACTATATCGGCTCGCTCCGAAAGTCTTCCTAATCAAGCGCCTGATGAAATTTGAGATGAATGCCAGTTTCTCGATGATCTCTTCCTGGGTCTCAGATCTTTGAGCCTTCGGATCACTCATGTTACGCCGAGTGCTTCCGACCTCTTTGAGGTACTTGTGGCTAAGCCCGCAGCGGATTGCAGTGATCATCATCGGGTGAATAACGTGGGCATGGAACTCATAGATCTGCCACGCTTCTGTTGCATACGTGTCGTTGGTCCATTTGCTCATGCCTACGACTTCGGCTCTCTGAAGGCGTCTCGGAAACCCGGTATCCGGATCATTCGGTACTAATGGCCATCTATTGAATGGAGTATCATGCCGCTGTCCATCGTCGAACTTTCGCAGTACGTCTTCACGACTCTCAAAGCAATTGATGTCGAACGTTGCGTTGGCCAAGCTCTTGATCAACTTCATCAACCTCAGATCAAATTGCTGTGTGACTGCAAAGTTGTGGTCGATGGGGATCGCAGCTTCTTGCGGCAATTCGTCAATTGCGAAGGGGAAAGGCTGTGGAAGTTCATTCCCGTATCCATCTTGAGGGACCTCCCGATATTCGGGTTCGCCTTCGGCTTCGTCCGGTCGTTCCTTCAAGATGATAGGAACTTCCTCGTCTTCCTCACCTTCGGACTCCTCGACGTCAATGACTTCTTCGGCTGTCTTGCGTGCATTCTTGATGACTTCATCGATGTTTGCACCTGCAGAAGAAGTTGCTTCACCGGAAGAACTGGCTGGTACGTCTCTCGGAGGTGATCGTTGATTGCGGTCCCTTGTCTCCTTGGGTACCACATGCGTGAGCTTCCCATTTGCAATCAGAACCGCCACGCAGTGCGGACATATCGTCAATCGCACATCGACTTCGCCAAGACAGTTGGGACACGGTCTTGAGTCATAGTCTTTCATTGCTCGGCGGTACACGATCTCCTCAAAGATTTCCTGCCATTCGGTGCTATCGTACTCTGGGTAGACACCGCTCTCCTCGACCATGCTCAGCAGCTTTGAGATCTTGGCGTCGTCCTCGGAGTAGGTATCATCCTGGACCTCAACCGCTAAGCTCTCAAGCTTTTGATAGCGTGGAGTCATGATCGGGTTTCCGTATTTGGACTCCAGAACAAGGTAGCTTCCAGGGTCGGGTTCTCTATTGAGTAACCTGATCCATTCGATCTCCTCAGGCTGTCCGGGTTCTGCATTGTCGCATTGCAACCATGCCCCTTTAACCTCATCGAAGGGAACGACGTCCTCAACCAATAGAGATCCAGTCGCTGAGATGAGAAGCCCGTACTCCTGCAGCTTCGACACCGGAATGTAGAGAACCACCGGGCGATCACTCAGTGCGACCTTACGACCCAGCCAAGGTTTTCCCTTGTAGCCCTGCTCCCAGGCCCATGGCGGAAAACATGTGAAGTGGATAGAATCCCTTCCCGATGTACCGAGACCTCCTGGCACTAGCCCCCGTCGCATGATTGAAGTCAGCGCTCCAAGATTGGTAGCGTGAAATGCAGTCACCATGGATAGGGCCATGTCGTTGGTCATTCTTGATCCAATGTGGTCGATGTTGATGGTAACGTCATAACCTCCGCCGTCCGTTGAGTGTGCTGAGGTTGCTCTTACGGCCACGGGAAAGCACCATCCATCGCTATGGTGGAGTCTCCCTTTGGAGATTCCCATGCCCTTGAGTTCGTCAATCCATTCCTTCTCCATCGGGTCATCAGGGTCATTGAGTTCATCAGGGTGAACGCGGACCGCCAACATTTGGAATCTGATCCTCTTGGTTATGCGGAAACACTCATAGTTCTGGTCGAAGTACTTCTCCAAACGTGCCTTCTTGGTCACGATGTCTATGTTGCCATAGTGATAACCGTCTTCCCAAACTGCGTTATCACC